CTTACGCGTGCGTGTCTACAGTCACGTGGCATGTCCTCCGTGTACCTGTGACTGCACCTTGTAAAGAAAGAAATGTCACACGACCTGCCTGACAGGCCATAGACGGGTTGCTCTTTAAAAATGCACCTCGCAAGCTGATCCGTCAATACGCGTGGCTATTAAGTCGGCCATCGTGACTTGACATGTCTGTCAGCACATGTGGTTCTGAGCCCGATATTTGAGATATTGAAGAGACTCGTTCCGATTAAGACACCGGGCGAGCTAACTCAAGATCTGTGGCGACGAACCAGTTCCCCAAATGAAGACTAATGCCGTCTATTTCAAATGTAGAGACACAGAGAATATACCTCGCGTATCCAAATAACCCGTAAAGGCGGTGGTTCATTATTGAAGTACGGGTTACATAATTATAATTAAATGAAGAACTCCTATACCGTACTTTAACCACTTCAGAGTGAGTAAAAGGAAGGAAACCCAAATGGTGCCCCTTATTTTTAAAGAGGTTCTTCAAGTAGCGCTCTACAGATCTAGGATATGAAAGCCCAATTAATAAGCTTTCATTGAATGAACGAATCATTCAAATCGCTCATGTACTTATCCAGTAATGGAATGTTCCACACAGTCACCGTTTTTAAGCTTGTCCACGGATCACAATGCACGTACTTGATGTTTCAGCAATAATGAAACCAGTCGTAGGCTATATATCCTGGAAATGATATCAGAATAATCTTATAAGTCTCCGGGGTAGCCAAGTAGAAGGCAGGGCAAGACTATAAACTCTTGACATTATAAAGCATGTTATGATAAGCGCCAGTTATCATGGCTATGCGAGTGTTCTGATATGTTTTTTTATGTGAATAGTTTTCGTTTTGCTGAAATATCACTTACATTTATTGTGATCCCTGGAAAAGGTAAAAAAAAAAGGTGTTAGTGTTAACATTTGAATGATTCTTTCACTAGAAGAAAGCTTATTAATTGGGCTTTCATATCTTAGATCTGGAAAGCGCTACATGTAGAACTTCTTTTTAAAAAATAAGAGACAGATTTGGGTTTCCTTTTTCTGTGTGTGTGACTCATCCTGTGTTTAAAGAACCGTAATTTCGAGGCCGTAAAGCCACTATTAGGGCTCCGGCCACACATGCGTAGCCACGCCCCATTAAGCCTGAATTTCTAGATCTTTGACAATATTACAAGCTGACAATAGACTTAATCATGGATGCCCATAACGGGCGTTATCAGAAGTATCTTGCCTCCTCAAGACCATGATATACATATTTTTTTTATTTATTTTTTTTATCGGGGTACGATGATGAAATCTTGGCTACAGTAGGAATGTGAAGCTACAGGTGATCTGTGAGCCCTGGAAATTGAACAAACTAAGAATGCAAGAAATGTATGGCTTTCGTAGGGATATTCATCAACATGAGCATAATGCCGTGTTACGCGACTCCCTGGCCAATATCATATGTTACCCTTGGCATTGCCATATGGCAAAAAAAAAACCAGCCACGAAGGCTAGATCGATACAAAATGCAGAAATGCCTGCATATTTAAATATTCATCTATGCGGTTTTCTTCATTTTAATGGGGAGTTTTGTTTCTTTTTGTATTAAACGTTTCGGTTTTTTTCTGTGTCCCATATTAAATTTAGTTTTTACAGATGTACAGTCCGTGCTTTTTTATTATTATTATTTTACGCCGAAGTAGAGATTTTCTTTAAAATTAATATTTTTTTCTATCTATACAAAACTTGTTCATGCACTTTTGCATGACAGATCGACCGAAACGTACGGCCCACGTTACTGTATTGAATAATTCCTAAACAGATTTCGAATTATCTATGGCTGGGCAATAAATTCAGTTTTCGCAAAACAGAATAATTCAAGCACCATATTAGGATCGATAATACATAGGGACCGGGAGCCAGTCTTCTTAAAGGGCAGAAAAGTAAAATATAACTCTTTTTTTTAAGGATTGCAGACCTTAATCAAGGAGAAGCGTATTATTTGTTCTCGTCAAATTGAAACATTCAAAAAAATATTCTGGACAACATTTGCAAACATAAAAAAACGAAACTGCCAAAATATTATGACAAATTCTACTTGATTTTATATATTAGGATCGAGCATTATTTGAAATCATTGCGCCTAGTATGCTGTCACTTTCACGGAGAGAGAAATTACCATAAATTCCTTGCAATCGTTAGGATTTAAAATATGGGTGGGTTTTCTCAAATACAGCTCCCGGCTAACCGAAGTGTAGTTTAGTTTACAATCGCTTTATATGCCTACGTATTCATGAATGATATTTATTTTCCCGGTGGGACAAACCGGGATCATACCACGAAAAATGGGAAGTCAAAATATATTAATGAATACGGTTTTTCTCAAAGATTCTGGAGAATGTTCATTGTCATCAATCTTTGAGGAAAAAGCCGTCATGATGATTATTGCTAACGGTTCTTATTTTTGTTTGTTCATTTTCTTTTTTGGCATTGGCCATCAATCATTTCGTGGAACAGAATTATTCGCACAGAATTTTTAAAAAAGCAATAAAAAAACAAACCTTTACATTATCCAAGGCCGGCCATAATATAGTTGGCATTTCTATTTTCAGTTTTACGACTAAAGCGATTATGACTGACAGATGTTGAGTCATCGGAGTAAAAATGCGGGTTTCTCATCAAGTGTTTAAAACCGACCAAAAATAGTAAAAGACCGAATACAAATATATTTTAACCAAAGCCCTGTAAAAAAAAATTTAAAAGACTATAAATAGAGCATAGAATTCGAAAAGCTCAATACATGGCTGGCGAAATGCATTCAAGTCTAAAGATGAAATTCGAACCATCCATATGTCACTACATTATTCAGTTACCGCTTCACACAAAAGAATATCAACAACAAAACAATAGTTCGTGACTTTCCCCTCTTTTTGAACAAATCGAGTAGATTCTATAAAACAAAAAAGAATTATTGTAATAAAAAGCACTTTTGTCGATGTAGGGCACGCATTGTTTAGACATGGAAATTGGCGGGAAAATAAAGTACAATGCACTGCATATAGCATTTTATAAGGGTAGTGTTGACCTATGAAATACAATGTCATGCAATTACGCTTTTCATATTACGGTTATGTATTTCTGAAATCTCATTTCCTATACGGCAATGTCTTTGTTTTAAAATGTATAAAAACATAACCTTTGACCTATGTGTTTGACACCACGGCGGGTACGGTCTAATCTACATTTAATCTTGCTTTATGTTGTGACCAAAAAAAAGGTTCTATGGTTTGGGGTCTATATATTAATTCATTAAAAATAATAAAGGGTTAAAAGTATTCATTTTTGTATAGTGGTACCTTTCATAGATTGAGGAAGCACGTTACAATATATTAATGAATACGGTTTTTCTCAAAGATTCTGGAGAATGTTCATTGTCATCAATCTTTGAGGAAAAAGCCGTCATGATGATTATTGCTAACGGTTCTTATTTTTGTTTGTTCATTTTCTTTTTTGGCATTGGCCATCAATCATTTCGTGGAACAGAATTATTCGCACAGAATTTTTAAAAAAGCAATAAAAAAACAAACCTTTACATTATCCAAGGCCGGCCATAATATAGTTGGCATTTCTATTTTCAGTTTTACGACTAAAGCGATTATGACTGACAGATGTTGAGTCATCGGAGTAAAAATGCGGGTTTCTCATCAAGTGTTTAAAACCGACCAAAAATAGTAAAAGACCGAATACAAATATATTTTAACCAAAGCCCTGTAAAAAAAAATTTAAAAGACTATAAATAGAGCATAGAATTCGAAAAGCTCAATACATGGCTGGCGAAATGCATTCAAGTCTAAAGATGAAATTCGAACCATCCATATGTCACTACATTATTCAGTTACCGCTTCACACAAAAGAATATCAACAACAAAACAATAGTTCGTGACTTTCCCCTCTTTTTGAACAAATCGAGTAGATTCTATAAAACAAAAAAGAATTATTGTAATAAAAAGCACTTTTGTCGATGTAGGGCACGCATTGTTTAGACATGGAAATTGGCGGGAAAATAAAGTACAATGCACTGCATATAGCATTTTATAAGGGTAGTGTTGACCTATGAAATACAATGTCATGCAATTACGCTTTTCATATTACGGTTATGTATTTCTGAAATCTCATTTCCTATACGGCAATGTCTTTGTTTTAAAATGTATAAAAACATAACCTTTGACCTATGTGTTTGACACCACGGCGGGTACGGTCTAATCTACATTTAATCTTGCTTTATGTTGTGACCAAAAAAAAGGTTCTATGGTTTGGGGTCTATATATTAATTCATTAAAAATAATAAAGGGTTAAAAGTATTCATTTTTGTATAGTGGTACCTTTCATAGATTGAGGAAGCACGTTACAAGCAACTCATCGAATAAGCTTTATCGCCGTAATGTTATCCTGACGATCTCATCTCAGCTTATCTACAATAGACAACGATCCATTTAACTTCACCCAAAATTCGTCAGCGACACCACATAGTAACACGCACGTGGGCTCGAGTGCGCGCTAGGCGCGCGTATTTTACAGAACCGAGTGATTTTCGTTTTCACGAAGTAACAGTCAACTTTATTTCACCAGTTTGAAGGCTTAGTTAAAACTTTCTGTAATCCTACAAGACTATGGATTAATAACATTCCTGTCGAACGTTTTAAAACGTTTTCTTTTTACCCAAATAGTACGTCCGTATTCAGTGTCCGATGTGCGTGCGCACACTTGAGTGTTACTTCGTGAATTCAAATTTGTCATTAAGCGGTTTTCACGAAGTAACATGGAAGTGGGCTTGGGTGTTAGTACTTCGTGGTGTCAGTGACGAACTATTAAGATTATTCCCTTGACGCATATCACATTTGATACATATCGCATGTTCATTTTAAGAATGAAAGTTCAGTCCAAAAAAATTCAGATCTTTGACGAAAATCGTATATGTTTTGTTGTTCACTTGCAGCTCATTATCTCATGCCTGTCAGCGGCTCTGCCGGAGGATTTCTCAGGGGGAGTTGATATCTATACCTACACCCCCTTCCTAGATGGTTCAGGCTCCCTCTCCGATGACAACGAGTCAGCCGATAGCCACCCGATTGTCTCCTTGACCCTTTACTGCAAATTCGGCCTGGGGTTTCTCGTCTCGGCCGTCTACAATCTCTTGATTATTATCGGATGTTGCTACTACGCCTTGCGAGCCCGTCACGTGCCAGACAACTACAACGAGTCCAAGTTCATCGCGGTCAGCGTCTACTCCACGCTGGTACTGTGTCTAGCCGTCGTGCCGGTCTACCAAACCTCCGACGACATCCACATGAAGATAGCCACGCTCAGCCTCGCTCTGGTCATCAATGCCTACGTCACGCTGGTCTGCCTGTACATGCCCAAGTTTTACATCATCTACGTCATTGAAAGGAGGTTGCAGGAGGCGGAAAGGATGCGGTCTGGAAGTAGCTTTAAAGATGGTAGAAGTAGCTTCAAAAGCAGTCTGCGCGACAGCATGCGCACAATGCACCATCAGCCACCAGTCAATACGACCGTCGAGCTGTTTCATTCGAGGGGACAAGACCTGTAATTTTCGTGTACTTTATGTGACCATTCTTTATACAGGGTGAGTCAAAAAACGAAACCCAAATGTCGGGACCATTGTTTTAGTGAAGTTCTGCATGTAGCATTTTCAAAATCTAGCACATGAAAGCCCAATTCATAAGCTTTCTTGTAGTATAAGAATCACTCATGTACTTTTAAAGTTACGGAATTTTAAACAAAACCACCGTTTTAAGCTTTTGTCCACAGATCACAAGAAGTCAAGTTATCTTTCAGGAAAACGAAAACAAATCGCATAGGGATGTGTGTGTGAATTGTTTTGTTTGCTGAAAGAACACACACATTCTTTTGTGATCCGTGGACAGAACTTTAAAACGGTGGATGTGTTTAAAATTCCATAACTTGAAAAGTACATAAATTATTTCAACGATTCTTGTACTAAAAGAGAGCTTATGCAATGGGCTCCACATCCGACGACGTACATTCAACATACAGTCGTATACTGATTTGTGCGCCTTACACACACATCTTCCTCTTGGGAGCCTGCCAAAGGGGACCGGTTTGTATACGCCACGAATTGGTGGAGATTGATGTCACGATCAATATCCGGCTTCACGTTTAATTGGTGTCAAATATTCTGTAAAGTATGTACATTTGGCCCTCGCGGCTGATCATTGTGATTTCAATTCCAAGAAACCAGTTAGCTCTGCAATTGCATTTGCTTACAGCAGTCAACTTTATGTTGTTGTTTTTTTTACAATGAATGAAAACGATCTCTTAATGCGTAATGTCTGCAATGCAAAATCACCATACAATTCTTAGAGATGACCAGTTGTGGCGGAAACATTGCGCAATTTGTTTTCAGATTAAATAGAATTATTGTATTACATCGGATTTACTCATCACTGGTATACAATTAAAGGGTCTATTGCAATCATCAGTTCTATCCTATTTTGTAATATATCAATTTCAAAAGAATATTTCACTTATCACTGTCTTAAAATTATTAACCTTGGAGAAGCCATGCATGCCAAATATGACAAATATACATATCTGCAAAGGAATCTGTACAAGAATGTGAGATCGTATTATCGATCTGCGTATTTCGTACTCTTCTCATCTGATGCATTAGAATCTCATCGTGGTATATAAGATTGATAAGTCGAATGTTTCCCGCGGGCTGGGATACATTAAACCAAGCCTGTCTTGATAAATACATGTCATCAGACAAATCGGTGTATGAAATACTGAGGTTTCCCTGCAGCAGAGTTATGTTCTTGCCTCCGTGTTTTGTGATGAATCGTTTGTTCATGTTTCGAAGCCAGGCCTTCTCGAACAGCCCCGCAGCTGTTTATGGTAAAGGACAGGTGTGTTCGCCTGCCGTTGAACATAAACGGTCTTCATAACTCAGTGTAACGAGCACATAGCTAATCATGCCAAAAATACGCCTTCCTGTCCCTGCGTGATTCATATCGACTTATGAAATTTATGTGCATGCTTGTGGCAGGGAGCTTTAGGAAAAGCCATGGTTTTGAAGGCTGAATTCCGAACAGTGCATCTTAACTATATGATCAAAAGTGGGAGCACTCGGAGTGGCTTATTTCCAGCATTGGGGCACTCAATCGGTTCGTTTGTAGTTTGGATCAAAACGAATCTCATATGTTTCCTTCCAAATTGACCAGGAGACGGGGAAGGCACATGCCTCTAGCCGCAGATCCGATAATGTTCTTATTCATAAATATCAAGGACAATTTACCTATAACACGGTATGGTACGCATAACAATTGACTAGCATCGCATATAATGTCGACCCCGCGAACACCCAGTGTACTAGGCAAGTCAAAATTAAATAGCATATATCCATTTCCCCTGCGTTGATGCTTCAATCCTGATCATTTGTTTTCGTGATGTTGGAGCGAAGCCAGAATTTTTACATCGGTATACACCTCGATGCGCAGTGTTCATCCTGGGCTGGTTTTCTTTCCATTTGTTGAAAAGACTTGAAAGCAGACACAGTTGTTGAAAGCACTGGCACGTCTGGCTAGGAACGTATGTTCTGAACACTGAACGGATATTCCTTATTAAAAAACGTTTTAATCCTACCTCGCTCGAGGCACCATCAATTACAGAAATTGTTATGTCACAGCATTTGAATAGTTATAACTGCGGCAGGTGGCTTGGAGCGATCGATTGATGCCTGGTTTATAGTACGACCACCAAAAATACCATATAGACAGTGAGGTTGAACGAGCAATGTACCTTGAAACCTCAGCCGATAATTATTCAGGACCTGATCTTTCACGTCCAAGGCAAACATGCCTCGCCCTGGGGCGAATTGTCACTACGATCCCTTCAGAAACTCGTTTCTCATTCCTGTGAAGAAGGTTAACGGAACTGACCCAACCGGTCTGGCATAATTCTTGTCGACAACTAGCTTTTTTTACCTGGTGGTGTTCGAACCCTTAAACCTCTTACAGGCGTATGATGATAAAGTGACAAGTGTATGGCCTGTGGCAAGGTGCTTGTTGACATTTTTAAAGGTTAGGATGGACAATCAAGACTTGTCGACGGACGGAGACGGAAGAAGTCACCACAGCGGAAACAAAGAATGAAGAGCGTGGGGAGACCGCGGCCCACCGGCCCTGGCACTTGGTGATGATAATAAGTGGCGTAGATTACAAATCGTGAATTCAATTTATGTAGTAGGCCTACGTACGGGAAGTTACCACTCAGATCTTTGCCATTATTATTGTTAAAACAACTGCGACGTTTGTCCTCCTTTTATAAGGAAAATCCCGAAGAATTTGCCGTGCGGCGCCACAACCTCTCCAAGTTAAATAGAGCAGGCTAATGAAAATCGACATACATGTGTTAAGACGTTAGTACTTGTTTGCGATCAGTGCAACAGTACTTGTATTTGTAGCATCGCTTTGCGCAGCGGCCGACACTCAAGTGAAGTCTGTTGATTCGAAATCAACTGCTGTAACCCTATCATTATAAACGTTCTCTGTATTATATATTGAAATCAATTGGATTTTCTCCAAGTCAAACATTCGTGAACTCCACCAAGATAGCCGAGAGGCGAATTGTTTTCAATCCAAAGAAAAAAAACATCCCAGTCGAATCAATAAATGTTCCTTCAGCTTTCCATGAATGCCTGAGGGACTCTCTTCCTTCCGGGTTTAATTTAAATTTCGATGAAGGAAAAGCACGCGTGGTCTTTAAAATTTGTTGCCGAAAGGCAAATCGTGCTGTGTGGAGATTTTTCTCATCTTCATTCCCAGCACAATTTCTGTCTCTGTCGTATTGTTCCAACCGCTAGGGACAATAATTTCGGTCTGCTTAATATTACGTCGGTCGTACTCGATTGCTTTTTAAGTGTAGTATTTGGCATTTTTATGGCAAACATATGCACGCAAATGACCGTGCCGTCATTTTTGGTCAAATGAGATGTCTTTAAGGATTTACAGAGAGGATATGTTTTTGTTTCAGTTCTCTGCAAATCCAATATGAATTGTACTTTTTAACATAAAAGTGTTCAACATTAGTTTGTTTCGACTTCTTTCTTTCGTTAAAACTATGTGACAGTACATGTAGATGAACAGCATCCATTATTGCCTCCACGTTTCATAAAGGTTTACGTACAGGCTACTTAACATACATTTTACAAGAATTTGGTCACCACATGATATCGTGTTTCGCATTCTCATTCGTGGTAGGACTTGAACATAAGTCGCATTAATGGAGCTAAAAGAAGACAAGGAAAGCCCAGTAAAGCTGGTCCAAAAGTGTTCTACAAGGTGAGCCAGATTTAGCCCATTCATTTGCATTAACTGGGTACTCCTATATGATAGCACTACTCGACTATCTTCGTCAGCCTACAACCAGTGTAATTCACAAGTAAGAGTGAGTCAGTCAATCAGTCAGTCATTCGGGGAGTCGGGGAGTCAGTTGGTCAGTCAGTCAGTCCGTCTGAAGTCAGTCAGTCAGTCCGTCCGTAGGCTGAAGTCAGTCTGTCAGTTTGATGTCAGTCAGTCTGAGGGGAGTCAGTTGGTCAGTCAGGCAGTCCGTCTGAAGTCAGGGGAGTCGGGGAGTCAGTCAGTTAGTTTGTCGTGAGTCAGTCTATCTGTCAGTCGGGGAGGCAGGCAGGCAGTTAGTTTGTCGTCAGTCAGTCAATCAGACAGTCACATGGTCATTACGCTGGCCCTCTGCGTCCAGCAAAAATCGCTACTAAGGCAGAAGAAATGTTTGTTTAGAGGGCGAAAAAAAGTTGAATCTCAATTACTGTGCAATGTAAAGTACTTCACTGCTGATTCCTAGCTGGTTTTCGCTGAGCACGAACAAAATATACTAAGCAGTTCCTGGTCAGAAGCTCCATAAAACTGGCTCCTAGTAGGCCTCAGGCGATAACGCTCACTTTCTTACAAGAATTAACGAGACACCCGGAGATTTGTGACTCAGACGCGTCGATAAGACCCGAAACGTGAGAACGCGTAGGCAGGGATGAAAAACGGAGCTTAAGCCGAAGAGGAAGACAGAGGTCTAGTGATAGAATCGGGGCTGGGTATCTCTTCAGATATGAACTATCCGCGTCCGGAATCAGCAAGACCGCAGTGCATCAATCATTGATGAGCTGGCAAATTGCGCATCGGTAGGCAGATCAGCCTGCTGGGTTATGTCACGCCGGGCGGCTTGAAGGAGAGATGGGTAACGTGAACCGGCTCGCAGAGAGGCTATGAATATTGATGACACCCCCGTGTGGTCAATCAAAAATGCCACCGTCAGACCGTGTTGCACTGTGCAGGTACCCAAAATTGGAGAGCGACAAACTCATTTCCGGTCGCGTGAAAAATACCAAAGCTTTTGTCGCTCATGCCATAGGTAATTTGGCTTACGTTAAACTTCTAGAACCATGGGCGCATATTTCCAACACATTGTTTCCCGTGATTTCTTTTTATGGCCAGGGGCTAAGAACAAATCACAATTTCTCATCGTGTTTGCTAAGTGTTCATGGTGTTAAGGATTTTTTTCTGTAAATTTAAAGAAACTGTTCGTGATATTTTTTCGAGTGTCTGTCCAAACAAAATATAATGTAATTTTTCA